ATAACCCACGTTTTAAAAGTAAAGCGCCAATTACCAAAACTTTTTTAAAGGATTTTAAAATAGTGGCTGCAATATAAAGGTCAGACTGAATTTCCCAGAAAATACTAATATCTATTGTTTACATCAGAGTAATATTAACGGATTCAAGCAAAGCTGTAACAACAGCTGCAGAGATTATCATCATTTTTGAATAAAAACGATATAGATCAAGTTACACGTCCTTGCAGCGAGGCATATTATTTTACTCTAAGTTAATAGACAACAAATTCTGAATTATAATCAGCTTGATTACGCCTGGATAAGCTCCTCGCAGCGACATAAACAAAGATTTTCCACAACGCAAGAACCTATTGCAATTTTTTCGAAACAACAGGAACTGCTTTTCCAATCAGTTAATTTACAACAGAAATGCAATTTGGTGAGTATCGACGTCAATATACAGAAAGCGCGGACATCATATCATAAATGCGTTTTGGCCAATGGGATGGCTATAAGCACCTTAAATTTCACATTTGCCATTAGCTTTTTCTTAAAATTGTCATATCTGCTCGAAATCGAGTTTAGCAGTACCTTGAAAAAGGAAAAATCCAGGCTTGTTAGCAGATCTCTGCGTGACGGCTCGGCTTCGAGCACTGAGACAACTTTGTTCTCAAAATTTTGACTTCAACTTCGCTAGCTCTTGGACCACAATATCCAGAAAGACTCAAACTCGTAAAGGCACGCCTCGCCACATTAAGATTTTGAAGGATTATCTGTTGAAAGAAAAAAAAACTTGGAGTGCACTAATCTTTCGGCATACTTGCTTATTCCAAAATATAATTGAGATATCAACTTTTACAAATGGCGAAGAGACGAGAGCATACCTGGTTGGACCGGATTGACCACATGTGTTAGAGGCAGTGACTGGTTTGCCGAATGCAGCGTTGATGAAATCCGGAATACAGCGCACCGGACGCCCAACACTGTCATAACATGGATCATGATCTGGCTCACGCAGTGAAAATTGCGAAAAATATGCGGCGTAGGATGAGTACATCCGAAATAGCACTAGAACAGCTACAGAAACTAACATTGCGAAGGTGAAGTTCTCAGTATCGTTTGAGCCAGACCAATTCGAAATGTGTCGCAGTTCCCCACGTCGATTCACTTAGCGCCTTTGTAAGTGCAGGCATGAAGTGCAAAAGTTACAAACGACATTTCTTCGAGAGTGTTTTTTAGCTCATGGATCCCGAGAATGATCGGCACTGTTGCAGAATAGTTGTTAAGGGAGAAGGAAGAGGAGGAGGAGGAGCACTAGCTGGAGCAGCACCACTACCAA